GGCCCCGGGGAAACGGGTGTGGAGCCGGTTTCCCCGCGCGCCTGGGAAGTTGCGGGAGCCGGACGGGGAGCTAGCGGACAGCAGGTGTTGGAGGGAGCCTGGGCGGCTGGTTGGAGGCGAGGAGCCCCGGGGCCAGGGAATAGGAGCGGGGAGGAAGCCTGGGGGCTGCATGGGGGTTGTTACTGGTGGGGGGAGCCCATTAGCCCAGGAAGGGGAGGCTGGAGTGGGAGACCGAGTCTGAAGCAGCCTGTGGGAAGGGTGCTGTCTTGAGGAGAGGATGGGTGAAGAGGGGATCGCCTGAAGCAGCCTAGGGGGTGCTATGGGGTGTGTGTGTGCTATGGGTAGCTGCGCTATGGGCAGCTGCCTGGGAGAGAGTCTGGGGTTTGCCTACAGTGCCTGTGAGATTTGGTGGTGGTCTGGAACAGTCACTGCTCTACCTCTCCACTTCCCTCCCCCCGCCAAAGCTCCTGTCCCATGCTGCTGCTGCTTTACTGCCAGCCGCTCCACGTGGGCTCAGAGCTAGCATGAAGAGGCTGCCTGAAGACCCAGCACCACAACAAATCCAGGTGGCAGGGAGGAAAAACTATAGCCAAAACCTGCTGCATGTACGAAATTCCACGAAGTATACAGATAGGCGTGGACAGGCAGGGAGCTGGCTGTGTGAGTGTCATGTCCAGTGTGTGAGACTTAGGTCTGCAAGGATGGACTATATTTGTAAATGAACATGTGGCAGCCTCTGGATGCTCTAATTAATTGGCCTTGTGTCATTAGAAAGAGTGCCTTGCAGGGTGGGTTTTTTTTTGGGGGGGGGGTGAACGGGGATATGCAACAAGCCATTAAAACACTCAAGATCCCTTCCAGTTCTATGAAATAGGCATATCTCCATATATTTTTGGGGGGAGGGATAGCTCAGTGGTTTGAGCATTGGCCTGCTAAACCCAGGGTTGTGAGTTCAATCATTGAGGGGGCCACTTAGGGATCTGGGGCAAAAACAGTACTTGGTCCTGCTAGTGAAGGCAGGGGGCTGGACTTGATGACCTTTCAAGGTCCCTTCCAGTTCTAGGAGATATGATAGGAAGATCCTGCCTGCCCTATGTGGATCCTGAAGATTGCAGGTTTCAGAGTAGCAGCCGTGTTAGTCTGTATCCGCAAAAAGGAGAACAGGAGTACTTGTGGCACCTTAGAGACTAACAAATTTATTAGAGCATAAGCTCTAATATGCATCCGAATATGTGGGCTGTAGTCCACG